ATTTAATGAGTCTGGATCAAGATCACTACTGATGATATTTAATGAGTCTGGATCAAGATCACTACTGATGATATTTAATGAGTCTGGATCAAGATGATCACTAATGATATCCAATGAGTCTGGATTAAGATAAAAAATAAGAGTTTGACGCCTTGATAGAAGATTTAATTATAACATCCTCTCTAAAAAAAAAAACAACTCTCACTTGTTTACATATGAAAGTCTTTATTCATATCCTCTCTTTCTAAGACTGCTTTATTTATGATTCAATATTTACCAAATCTCAATTGATCTGAACCAGGAGTTTCAATTAAGCCGACGTTACAGGGGACGTTTCGCAACGACGATTTTTCGCGATACGACTCGTCGATATTTAATACATCTTACAAAAGTCAACTTTTCGCGCAACGTTCGTTCGAAAATCAACATGTTACACGGGACGTTTTTTAGCGCTTTGAAAGCCGCCATCTTGTTTGTTGACGTCACCTCGCCTGAGAGTATTGAACTGCATTTTGGGTATGCATTGCGCGAAAAACTGTTGATGAAGCGGTTATACGAATCAACTTGCAAAAAATTGCTATTCTGAGTTGCAAGTTTTTGAAACTAAATCAAAAACTTGCAACACGTTGCGAAATCCGAAAATTGTTGTAGATGCATGTTACATGGCATCAATTTTTCGTGGAACGGAGTATCGCGAAAAATTGTCATTGCGAATCGTCCAGTGTAACATCAGCTTTACAGACGCTGAGTCAATTGTTATTGTGACGTTGCCTTAGGCTGATTTCATTTTCTCTAATAAAAGCTCTGCTCTAAACAAACACAATCGCAAATGGTGCTAAACCACTGGACGATGTTTTCGTATGCCATTACTTCACTAGAATCAACAATCACGCGCAAAACCTCGCTCTCAATAATAAAATAAGAGTAACTAATAATTAATAGAAAGGTAAAATTGACAGCTTAGGATTTGCGTGTCATGTCCTACGGAACTAAAATGTTCTCCAAGGCAACGCAAATTGCAGTTTGAACGTTAATAGCGACGTGAAAGCGTTTGAATAGCTGGCAAGAAAAGTAGAAACAGCGAAAATTACATCACCTTGCTTGTTTAATTCTTTTTCTTTTCAAGTTTTCCTAGCCGAGATATGGGATGTGGAGCAAGTGTGGCGGTGAATGGCCATGTACTATCAGGCACCTCGTGTACTTCAGTTGCATTCCAGCCAATTCCGCTTTCAGAGGAGCAAAAGAAGTTGATTTATCAGACATGGAGTCTTGTGGAACCTGTTAAAGTAGCCGCGGGAAGGAAGCTTTTCGCCAGGTAAATTGATAACTGAAAACTTTCCAATATTTATAGCAAAATTAAGGCTTATAAAAACCAAGACTAATAATGATATTGATAATATGAAGCAGTTGCATTATACGTTTTTAGTTAGTACTGAAGGAAGGTTTTGTTTCCATATATATTTGAACGTGTTTTTTACTTAGAATTGACACGGGGAAAAAACGTGGAAAGCTTGAAAACACTAAATTAAATCGCGATCGGTAAATCAAGGAAAGGCAGGAAGGCAGGGAAAAAAAAA